GAATGTTCCCCAATGTTCACAGATCATTTTAGAGTCATTAATTTGTAGTTTTAACAACAATTTCTTGGTTTATGATTCTTGGTTCTTCAAACATGTCAAACATAAAACTCAACCAAACGACCGTTTATGAACGTAAAAACGATCTATACGAACATTCTAATCACTAGATATATCTACGGGCTTACCTCGAAGTGTAATGGAGGTTTTGAAGATTTTCCGGCGAAACTTCCGGCGAGGATTGTGGCTATATCCGGCGATGGGAAGCTCTCTTGACAGCACTACTTCACTCTCTACACTCTCAGCTATTTATTGGAAGAAGAATGGTGAAAAATGGTATGTTTAGAGAGATATATATAGTGGGGAGGAGAGGAAGAAGACACAGGTTTGGTGACATCCGTTTCCCTATTCTGGCGTCTCGGTGGAGGGAGCGGCGATTGCTAGGATTCCCAGATGCAAGTCCCTGATTGGGACTAATTTGATCCCAGTCGGGGAACACTTTTTGGTCCAACTTTCTCCGAATTGAAATCCGATTGCACCGTTGCGATCAGACAGTTAAACTCTATCTAACGATATAATTTTTATAGTTATTCGTTATACTTTTTCCGACATCATATTTTTGGGTGGTTGACTTTGACAGAGTCAAAATTGGTTTAATTGACCTTTATTAAAAAAAGGTTCTCACATTTAATTCATAATATTTATTTCCATGATTTATTTCAATAAATCATTTCAAAGTTCACATTATAAACAGTTTCTTCATTTATTTTTAATTTGGGTCTGTACTCAGGTTCCCAATCAAGATCACACAATAAATCAACATGTTGGATTTATCTCTATGAGATTTATCCCAATTATGTTTATTGAATATCAATATATATTTTATTTCAGCCCAAAGCCCAACAACAATTTATTTTAATCAAAACAAATTTTGTTTAATTGAATATTTAATTCAATAAATTTTAGGGTATATTTTGGGGCGTTACAGCTTTTACAAGGGAGTTTAGAGAGAATGAATTCGGATCCCTCTTTCTGAGGTTTACATGAGTATTTATACTAGGCTAAGGGGGACAAGACCACGTGCGCCCACGTGGGGGCACACTGCTGATGTGGTGCGAGGTGACTGGTTTCGTCTTTGAGCTGCCTTGTCGCCTTGTGAGGGGGATTATCCCCTTTGTCGAGTAGTGCCTTGGATGGATTCTTCAGCATCTCCAGTTGTCCTCTACTGACATGGGCCGCTACACGCCAAGCCCTCTTAGATTCTCTTCTGCCGACACTCTCCAACCCTAGAAACTACACCGGGTAATCTCCGAGGGATGAATTCATCGAAGTCTGGGAATAAATAGGGTGACAACGTAGTTTGACCGGTATACTTTTCGTGAAGTATACCGGTCATCTTTTGGTCGATTACATATCGATTTGCTGATGATTTAAGTCTCCCTTCCAAGACTTTCGAGATTGACCGGTCAACTAATTGGTCTCTTCCTTTGACCGGTCGTGGGTGGAATACACCCATCATAAGTATTTAATTTATAAAACTTGATAGTAAGAATACTTACCGGAAGGATATAATCAAATTCAAACACCTGAAAAATATTTTCAGGAACACCAAATATATTTATGGTCTTGTATTTCATCAAAATAATGCATATAATATTTTTTCTGATAACATATTTATAATAGAGTACATGGTTTGATGGGTGTATTTCACCCATGACCGGTCAAGGGTCAGACCCATATAAGTTGACCGGTCAAACAGGTCAAACTTAGGAGAGAGATGAATCGTTCATGGAAGGGTAAAGGGTTGACCAAAAAGGTTGACCGGTATACTTCGAATAGTATACCGGTCTAACTATGCCGGGGTCTAATTCATCCTTTGAAGTTGGCAGATCCAACCCTCAAGAACCAGCCGGTGCAGTTTTTAATGATTGGGAAGTGTCGGCAGGAGGAATCCAAAAGGACTTGGACTGTAGTGGTTGGCATTGCTTGGAACTCAGTGGAGATGCTGGAGGAATATTTCCAATCCAGAACGCGACAAGGGGGGTAATCCCCCTCGCAAGATGACAAGGCGACTCAGGGACAGTCATCTCGCACCACATAAGCAGCATGCCCCCACGTGGGCGCACGTGGTCCTGTCCCCCCAGCTTAGTATATATACCTCTTGTAACCCTCGAGGAAGGGGATCCGAATTCATTCTCTCTAAACTCCCTTGTAAAAGCACCCGTGCATTCTCCGTTATAATATAAATTGGGCTACAGGTGTTCCACCTAAAGTCCTACCGGTCAATCTGCATGTTTTTACCTTTCTTACTTTACCAAATCAAGCAAACTATCCTAGACCCGGTCTAGTATAGTTTGACCGGTCAAGTAATTTACACCATCATTTTTGGCGCCACCCGTGGGACCGTTAAGGTTTCTAATCTTCTAAACACCAACCTACCCACAAAAACACCACTCAAAATGTCTTCAAGCCAACAGATCAACGCTATTTCCACTCAGGTGCAAGCCACCAATGAGGGTACCAGCATCCCTGTGGCTGCTACCCTACCGGTCATTTCAGCCTCGGTGTTGCCTTTGGGTCTGAGCTGCATCCCAACGCCTAGCGTGATCAGCCCATTCACGACCCCCGTCCCTTCTGCTGGACCGAGGGTCACGTTCCCACCAAGCATGACTCAGTTCATGAATGACCTAGCCAACCTACAAGCCATCCAGGGCTTTGGCCAGGTCATGGCCATGTGCCAACAGAATGGGGGGATGCCTTTTCTCGCTGGTATGTTCCCGTTTGCTCTTCCCGCGCGGGAACCGTGCCCTTACAGGCTCCAATGGCAGTGACGCCATTCCAGACACCGATGCCGCAGCCATCACCTTTCCAGTCCCAGCTGGTCAGCACCATGGCCCTGTCAACTTGGCTGGCGCACTTAACGCTGCAGGGCCGTCGCGTCCCCCCCAAGGTACGAATCCGCAGATCACTCCTGATGGCCAGACGCCGAATTAAATCAAGGCGTAGGGCTAGAACAAGAAGAACAACGAAAGAAAGGGAATGATTGAAACGCTAGGGGAAGAGTTCCGCTTGAGGTGTATGAAATATTCTCAAATAATGATAGTCTGACTTAAATATGCCACAAGCCGGGCTATAAATAGCTGAGAAACGAAGGAAGTGAAACCCTAAAAGATGGAAGACAAAATGGGCCTAAGAATCAAAATAAATGGGCTAACTAAAAGATAGGCCGAAGGCCCAAAGATACAAAAATTTAAAAGTGAAGGCCTTAACAAAGAGTTCACGTTAGTCTTGATCCTCTCCTACATCAGTCTCCCCGGGTTAGAAAGAACGCGTCCTCGAGTTCACATCATCATCTTTAGAATCCCAAAAACAAGGAGTTAGGTGCTTCACATTGAAAACATCAGAAGTTTTCAAGTGACTGGGAAGCCGCAATCGGTAAGCATTATCATTGATCTTCTGAACTATCTCGCAGGGTCCAATTTTTCGATCCTTTAGTTTATCATACTCGCCAACAGGGAATCGATCCTTTGTCAACACAGTCCAAACAAAGTCTCCAACATCAAACAGAACTTGACGTCGATGTTTGTCCACTCGTGCCTTGTACTTGTTGTTGCTTTCTTCAATCTTACGTCTCACCTGATCATGTATGCTCCTCAGGTTCTCTGTCATCTCTTCGGCTCTAGGATGACCGCAACCCACTCGTGGAATTGGGGCCAAGTCCAGCACCCCGGATGGGTTCTGACCCAAGACAATATGAAATGGGCTCAATCTAGTGGTCTTGTTTATTGACCTGTTGTAGGCAAACTCCGCTTGGGGAAGCGCCAAATCCCATTGTTTTGGCTTAGATCCTGCCAAACAACGTAGAAGATTTCCCAAGCTACGGTTCACCACCTCCATCTGGCCATCAGTCTGAGGATGATATGCACTGCTAAAGTTCAGATTGGTGCCAAGCTTCTCCCATAAACTCTTCCAGAACTGGCTCATGAATTTTGTGTCACGATCTGAGGTGATAGAACAAGGAATGCCATGCAACCTCACAATCTCCTTGAAATATAGGTGAGCAATCTGCACAGCATCCATGGTTTTCCTGCAGGGAATAAAGTGTGCCATCTTGGAAAACCTGTCAACAACAACAAAGATGGAGTCTGCCGCCCTTTGGGTGCGGGGTAATCCAAGTACAAAATCCATGCTAACATCAAGCCAAGGGGCTTCTGGAACAGGCAATGGAGTATAAAGGCCTGCATTTGTGAGAGCTCCCTTAGATCGCTGGCACACATAGCAACGATCCACAAAATGGGTCACGTCACTTCTCAACTTTGGCCAGTAAAAATTAGCAGACACAAGAGCGAGAGTCTTGTCTTGACCAAAATGTCCTTCGTTGTGGAGTTCACTGATAATCTGCTGTCGTAAGGAACAATCTGGGACACACAGCTGCCGACCTCGAAAAAGATAGCCATCGTGCACCAAGAAATCATGGCGGTGTCCTGAAGTCACTTCCAAGAAGATCGTTCCAAATGAAGGATTAGCTTCGTACATGTCCGCAAAAACTTCAAATCCCGTCACTCTACTGCTCATGGTGGAGAGAAGATTATTTCGTCAACTCAAGGCATCAGCAATGCGGTGGACACTACCTGATTGGTGTTTGAGTACAAAGGTGAACTCCTGTAAGTACGCCACCCACTTGGCATGACGTCTATTGAGTTTGTGTTTCCCATTAATATACTTCAAAGCCTCATGATCAGTGAAAAGAATGAACTCCTTTTGGATTAAATAGTGACGCCAATGTTTGAGTGACTGAACAATGGCGTAGAACTCGAGGTCATAAGTCGAGTAGTTCTTCTGGGAACCAGAAAGTTTTCACTGAAGAAGGCAACTGGACGTCCAGCCTGACTAAGCACACCTCCAATGCCAACACCAGACGCATCACAGTTGACCTCAAAAACTTTGTCAAAATCAGGGAGGGCTAATACTGGAGCCTCCGTCATCTTCTGTTTCACCTTCTCAAAGCTGGACTCCGCGGCATCTGTCCACTGGAGGTCACGTCCCTTGAGACACTCAATAATGGGCGCAATCAAAGTGCTGAAGTTCCTAATGAATCTACGATAAAAAGAGGCCAGACTATGAAAGCTACGAACGTCATGCAATGTTCTGGGTCTAGGCCACTGCACAATGGCCTCAATCTTTGAGGGATCTGCATGCACACCATCAACAGAAACCACAAACCCCAGGAACTGAACGGAGGTAGTAAAGAAGAAACACTTCTTTCTATTGATGAATAAAGTCTCCGCTTTCAGCACCTCAAAAACAACACGCAAATGTTCAAAGTGGGCAGCCCAAGATGGACTATAGATAAGGATGTCATCAAAGTAAACAACAACAAACTTTCCCATAAAAGGTCTCAAAACCTGGTGCATGAACCGCATGAACGTACTAGGTGCGTTGGACATACCAAATGGCATCACCATCCACTCGTACAACCCATGCTGCGTCTTAAATGCGGTCTTCCATTCGTCGCCAGGCATGATTCGAATCTGATGGTACCCACTCTTAAGATCAATTTTGGAAAAGAACTTAGAGCCGGAAAGTTGATCTAGCATGTCATCAAGTCGAGGAATAGGAAATCTATACTTCACCGTGATGCGGTTGATGGCCCTGCTGTCCACACACATGCGCCAAGAACCATCTTTCTTCGGCACCAACAAGGTTGGAACTGCACATGGACTCATGCTCTCCCTGACATAGCCTCTTTCAAGCAACTCTACAACTTGTCGCTGCAATTCTTCTACCTCTTTGGGACTGAGACGATATGCTGCTCTATTTGGGAGGTTAGAGCCTGGGACTAAATCAATTTGATGCTGGATGTCCCTCAATGGTGGTAAACCAGGAGGTAGCTCATCAGGCATCAAGTGTGAGAACTCATCTAGAAGTTGCTGCACCTCCACAGGTAAGTCATTATCTTCATCACCTTCTTGGTCATCACAAGGCAACAATGCATAAACCACCTTTTCATGCTCAACCTCCTTTAGGAACTTGGACCTAGATAGCAGATTAGTAGGGCCTTCTGTTGAGGGTGGAAGAGGGTCCTCTCGACGTGGTGCTAAAATTATCCTCTTGCCTTTCATGACAAAAGAATAGGTATTCTTTCGTCCATCATGTACAACGCTTCGATCATACTGCCAAGGTCTTCCCAAAAGAATGTGACATGCATCCATCTTCATGACATCACACCAGTGACTATCATGATACTTATTCCCAATTGAGAAGGAAACAAGGCATCTCTTGTCAACTGTCACCTCAGAACCCTTGTGTAGCCAGGACAATTTATAGGGTTTGGGGTGGCGTTCTGTCTTCAACTGCAATTTCCGGACAGCTTCGTCAGAGATGATGTTGTCGCAACTACCACCATCCACGATCATCTTGCATACTTTTCCTTCAATGGTGCAGGTTGTGTGAAAGATGTTTGTCCTCAACCAGTCGTCTTTAGAATCATCCTTTGGGGCCAGAAGACTCTTGCGCACAACCAAATTCTCTCGACCATCCCCGTAAAGAACATCATCTTCTACATAGTCATCATAGACTCGTCCAGACTCTTCAACTTCATCATCGTCGACAACGATATTCTCCTCCACGAACAGGCTCTTACTCCTCTGTAAAGCGGGTTTCTTGCATTCATTCGCCCTATGTCCAGGTTCACCACAACGATAGCACTTAATCGTACTACTCGAAGCTCCCTGCGTCCCTTGGACTCCCTGTGTTGTCAGACGAGGCTCTTGGGGTCGAGCCGGACGGTTGTTGGTCACCGGCTTCCTGTTCTGCTGCTTCTCAACTGCAAGAGCCCTTTTGTATGCCTTAGAAACAGTCCATAATGAATGGAGGTTGAGAACATCCTGCAACGACTAACGCAAGCCTGCCATATATCGGGCCACAAGCTGCTCCTCCGATTCAGACAGATCGTTGTGAGCAATCAACTGGTAGAATTCTTCGGTGTAATCTTCAACAGACCTCGTTCCCTGCCTCAACGTATGGAGTCGTTGAAATAGGGTTTGTGTGTATCCGAAGGGAAGAAAGTGTGCCCTCATCTTACCCTTCATCTTCTCCTAATCATTGATCTTTGGCTTGCCCTTCTTCTCACGAGATCGCCGCATCTGTTCCCACCATGCAGAGGCTCGTCCATGGAGTTTAATTGCCACGAGCTTCACTTTGTCATGGTTAGGAACGTCCTTATACTCAAAGATCCGATCCACCTCGTTCAGCCAGTCAATGAAATCATCGGCCTGCAGGGTTCTTGAAAAACTAGGGATTTCCACCTTAAACCCTAGCCCTCCGCGATAGTCATCACTGATGCGAAAATCACGCCCGCGAGGTTCGCGATGATACGGGTTCTCGAGCGATGATCGGGAGCCGTGATCTGACTCCTCATGATCCTCCAAATCTCGCACCGCCAGGCGCCATGTGAGTTCCGTGATCTGCTGCCGCATAACCTCGTTCTGCCGCTGTAGATCTGTTATCACCTCCACGTCGTCAAGGTGCTGCTCTCGTCGGGGGGGTTCGTTACCCATTGGTTGCCCACGGCCGCGACCTCGTGCACGCACCATTGATTTCGAAGGATGATCTTCCTTTATTTGTCGAACTGAGCTTTGATACCAACTGACGCCGAATTAAATGAAGGCGTAGGGCTAGAACGAGAAGAACAACGTAAGAAAGGGAATGATTGAAACGCTAGGGGAAGAGTTTCCCTCTAGGTGTATGAAATATTCTCAAATAATGATAGTCTGACTGAAATATGCCCACAAGCCGGGCTATAAATAGCTGTGAAACGAAGGAAGTGAAACCCTAAAAGATGGAAGATAAAATGGGCCTAAGAATAAAAATAAATGGGCTAACTAAAAGATAGGCCAAAGGCCCAAAGATACAAAAATTTAAAAATGAAGGCCTTAACAAAGAGTTCACGTTAGTCTTGATCCTCTCCTGCATCACCATTGCGTCTCAGTTGAGAGTGGTGACGGCGAGTGGGACATTCCGAGGGCCCACAAGAAGAAGGAAGGAAAAAACATCCAGCCAGCTGTTGGACATGAGTTCAAACCCCTTTACTATTTCTTCTGGAATATTTTTTGTTTTGATGAATGACAAACAGGATAATTAATTTCAAGCTGATCGAAAATTTATTTTCGTATCGAGAAAAGCAAAGAAGGGTATCTAGAAGTTTACGGCGATAAAAAAATCGACGATCCCCCTACGCAGATTTTTTTTGAAGTGAAGTGAAGACTCCGAAGACTTTTTTTATTTTTTATTGAGTCTAGGATTCCTGTAAGGATGACAATAACTTTTGCATAAACAAATTAATTTCTGACGGATAAAAATTATTATTTCTTGATTCAATTGAAAAATTATTTTTTCTCTGTCCAAAATTATTTTACTGAGTCAGTTTCAAAATAAGTGTGTCAAAATTTCTTTAAAATATTTTTTAAAGATTACACAATTTTTTTGGTAAGAAAAATATACTTTAAATATTTTTCGTGTACATCTTTTGACACACAAAATAATTTTTTGAACTCACTTTCTCTCCCCTATTCAAATTCATTGAATAAGGGTTATCAATGAGCGTTCATTGATTCCCATTGTCTCAAACAATCGTATGAAGCCAAAGGCTTCAATCGCAAATAGGCTTGGGCCCTTTATGTTTGCACATCATTTTGAAATTAATCGATTTTCTCTTCCTTTTAAATCGATTAATAGACTTCTAGTTGGATTCCCAGGATCGCCCAATAATCGATTAATGTTCTTCATTTAATCGATTTGTTAGCATAGATTCACCTAATCGATTATTTTCTTCAGTTTAATCGATTAATACCTTACCAAATTTCAGGCTTTTTCGCCTCTGTGTACCTTAATCGATTAATAGTTTCACTTTAATCGATTATTTTTATATGGTGCATGTTCTGGCGTGCTCCAACGGCTTTATTTTCCTCAGCCTATTTAATCCCTCATTCTCCTTCATTTCTAACACATCTCTTGCACTCCAAAATATTCTTTGAGCTATATTCATCCTTTGCTTCATCTTCCTCATCAAAATATTATTTTTTGAGAGTTAGAAATATTTTCATTGAGTGCTTAAGAAGTTGTCATCCATAGAGCTTTAATTCTTCAACACTACTTTGCTCAATTGTGTGAGCTTTCATTCTTGTGTTGTAAACTCAATCTCATTTGAGTGTTGTTCTTAAGACTTGTGTGACTCAAGTCTTGTTGTTGTAAGAAAGTGAGGCTTGTGTGATTCAAGTTCTCAAGTTGTACTGGTTTTTCAAGCACCCGTTGAAGCTTGAAGATTAGTAGGACTTTCGAGAGAGTCTCTCGGAGGACTGGACT